TGTTAGAGTGGTAAAGATGCTGGGTGGGATTTCTGACTGTAAGAATGCTGTGGAGTGGATCCTGCATCACAAAGATGCAGCGTTACAGGAGACAAAACCACTGCTACCTGTGAAGTGGCAAAGCCTTGTAGTCCACAGCTTGGGCTGAAGCACAAATACCACCATGAGTGTCTCTGCAGTAATTTGACCTACATAATTTAATTACTGTTTATCTTATTTTCCTTGTTTTCCTGACACATAAAGATGGCTGACTATTTTCCATAAAAAAAAAAAAAAAAAACAAACCAGCAGGTGAAAGAGTTCAATACAGACTAAAACATTTTAGGACCAAATTTCAAAATTTCAAAACTTTATTTTCATTTCTTAACTTTAACCAAATAATATTGATTTAAAGTTCTTCTGCAAAATAAGAGTAATGGATATACTAGCATGTTACTGAAGAATTATAATGTTAAAATGTGTGATTTGAAAAGTTCTATCTTCTTTCTTCATCATAGCAAACTGCTTTAGAATATATTTTCCCATAATTTTGGAATAGTTTTATAAATTAATGCTTTAAAATTATTTTTACTAAATAATTATTTAAAGCTGTTGTTCTATAGTTGACTTTAAAAAAAAAGTAGATAGCTGAATATTTTGATTATTTTCTGATTTGGATAATTTATCATTATATACACTTATATAGTAAAAAAATATTACACAAAGAAAACAATGTATGACATCTAAAATGACAAAACCCTTTCAATATAGAAATTACTGCCATGAAACTGAAATTGTTTCCAAAGAAAAAATTGTTTTTATGCCAGGGAAGAAGAAAAATAGTTTTAAAATTGCAATATTGAAAGTAAATTGCATTATTGAAAGTATAGCAGTGGCTCCACAGCTCAAAACAACTCTAACATGTGGCACTGCCTGCCATCCCTTTGGGGTGGGAAACCCTCCACCAACCCCAAGTGCTGTGTGAGCACAATCAGAGCAGGGAGTTTAATGACAGAGAGTGGTTTGTTGTTTAATTGTACAGCTCCAAGGTTCTGCCTGAATCCCTGTGAGAGCAGTCAGAGGGTCACACATGCATTCAGCTCAGTGATCTCCAAGCAGGGCAATCTTGGTATCTGTTCTCCAGCACAGGATCTCTTCTTGACCTCGTTTCACACTTGGTGTGAATGCATCACCTGGGGGTACTCTAGATTCTGGCAAAGCACAACACAGTTTTGGTCTCCCCATCCCATTTTTTTTAACCTCCATTGGACAAATCCCTGCTACATTGAAAAGCAAAATTAAGGCAAATACAGTTTGCCTTATTTTGGGAAAAAAGGAACTATTTCAAAGAATTTGTTCAGTTAACTACAGAATATGGTGCAAGACTTCTGACAAGTAATGTGTTTTGTACTACTCAACTGCAATCAGCTGTGTCAGGAGACACTTTCATCAACTACCCTATAATTATGTTAAGGCTTTCACCAAATGACAAATCCCAACTGGCTGGGCCAGAGCCCTGCCTTTCTAGAGAAGGGTAATAATTTTGTCCACTCACTGGTTCATTCATTTCAGCAAGTCCTGACCTGTGGATTCACTGAGGTGAGTATTTACTGATTATTTTTATGCTGTTTAAATTTTTACTATTTTAAAATTCAAATCTCACAGACAGAAGGTAAAATTTCATAGGACTTTCTAGAAAGATTGTCAGGAGTTGTAAGGTAGAACAACCACTTACCTGTGTTACACACACTGAACTGTATCTATCAGCTGAACTGACACTATCAGCTGTTTTTCTCTCAGTGTATTTTAACTTCCTTTTTTCCATGCCAGTGATTCACTGAACTATTACACACAAAAAAATATTATTAACTGCACATATATAGGTGTCAGATATATTGAGTAAAATCTATGCCTCCAGACAAACAAAATTGCTAAAACAACTTTATTTTAGCGAAGTCTTGTTTCAAGCTTTTTTGGCTAAGTCCTTAGTCTAGGCAATTTTTCTCAGGAGGTGGGAATAGGTTTCCTTTACAGGTGTGAGTGTGCTAATAGGGATTTCTGTTTCTTTAGGAATCTAAAGTTTATTGGTATAGACTTACACCTGGGAAAACTCAATATGAAGTTACTTCTCCCTAGTGAATGCTTCTAATCAGGGGTGAAAGAGAAGACACCTGTATGTTTTCAGCCTTTCAACTCAGGTAAATGATATGGTGCAGTGTAATAGTTATTTTTTACATGAAGCCACAGGCAGGCAAGACAACCCACAAAATATGAGGCAAGAGGTTTGAGTCAGAGTTGCATGTAAGCAATGGAGCACGTGCGGGGTAATCTCACACAGGTGAGGGCTGGCACGGGCATCCACTAAAGCGTCTCAGGAGGGAAAGACAGAGAGTGAGGTGTGGGCAGTGAGAGCCAGGCCTGGCTGCCACACACTGTCCAAGTCCCAGTTCCCACGGCAAGCAGTCTCAACATGTTAAGGTCTCTTAAAACCATTAGACTCCATTGTGTTTCTCAGCTTTGCTGTTTAGTCAGAGTTTGTGAGGGTTTGCAGTTTGTCTCAGAAGAGGATGAGATGGTGGGTCGGCTGTCCCAGCAGTATGTCAATAGAGATATCATGAACTTTGCCACCCTAACCAGTGGCAGGCCCAACCAAAAAGAACTCATTTCCTCAGCTCAGAGCCACTGAAAATCCTTTTCCTTAGGCTTTCTCCAAGGCTTATGCTAATATTCTTGCTCAGGCAGGCCCAACTGTGCTTCTTTCTTCTTTTCAGTTGAACTGTTAATTCTCTGCATACCCATTTCCCAAAACAATGCTCGATAAATGCTAATGCCTCCTTAATAAATCACTGGTTTTCTGCATAGCTTTCTACTCACTTTTGTTTTGAGACTTTGACATCTGTTTACCCATCTCTCCCACTTATCTCCAGGGATGGGTGGCAATTACACAGGCTTCTCAGTGTTAGTAGGTTTATCAAAATAACAAAAGGCTATGTGAGGGCTGTGAAGGAACAGCAGGTGAAAGAGAACACAGTACGAAAGAGAAATCACTCTTGAGGCAAGGTTTATTTCTTTACTTCAGTTTCATATTTTTGTCAGATTGTACTCATTTATATGCAATCGTGGGAGAAAGGAATATGGAATGAATTACAATCTCAGGAGAGGGAGATTAAAAAGAGAGAGCATTCAGGTATTGCAGAAGAGAACTTGAAATGTCACACTGTGAAGACATATGTTAATGTACAAACTGGTATGAGGTTAATAATACATATTTATTTCCACGAATAATTTGCTTTGATGACCCCTCCCCCTGCTACTCAGACCTCCTGTTGCTCTAGCAACACCCTCTATGGAGTGTGGCTACTGAATATCCAGGAACAATTTCATCCATGCAGGTTTCATTTACCCCAGGGGCGTTTCTGCTCCCTTGAAAGGGAACGCACTTATCACCTTTCTCGAAGATTCTATTTTTTTTCTAAAAAGGATAGCACAATAGTGACTCAAACAGTTTCAGATACAGAATTGACTGCTGTGTTAATTTCAATACTGCAGTACTTCCCAGGATTATGCAAAAGCCTGTCCTGGTCTCTTCTTCAGAGCAATCTCACCTTTTCCAAAGGCATAGTAACCTTTGTACAGTGTAAATTTTTTTTCTTTCATAAATCCTAGATTAGAATAATAGTTTCTTGAAGGGGAAATATACTTTTTAACACAGATGTGAAATGATACCTGCTTTGTAAAGAAATGTACTGCAGTTATCTCTGTGCTGCATGTTGGCTTAGAAGGCAAGAATATATATTTTTATGTTCAGTTCACACTTCTGATTTTCAAAATAGTACTCATAAGGGAGATGATGATCATTAAGTGCTTACTAATAGTGGATTATAATCCTCCATACTATGGGCCACCTTTGATACTGCCTATACACATATAGGTGTATAACATTGCCTTGTTTGGAAGAGCTCCCTGAGAAGATCTAGGGAAGTGCTTAGGAAAACTGTTCTTGTACTGCAGGATGCACAGTGATCTGCACTAGAGTCATTTGTAAATGTTGCTGTCCACAAGAATTTAGAATTGTGCTGGAACACATGATACTGCACAAAATATGACACTGGGCATCTTAAGTAATATCCCTAGTGGATGTTGGACCAGGTGACCTTTAAAGGTCCCTCCTAACTCAAACCCTTTTAAGGCTATGAAAATTTGACCTCCTACTTTGAGAAGTAGTCAGAACAAGGAATAGGCTGAATATACAAGCCCAAAGAAAATTGGGTTTGGGGCTTTTTTTTTTTGTGATCATTTTTTTTAAGGCTTCTAATTAAAATTACTGAAAAGGTTTCAGCGTAGTATCGTGAAAATGTATTTAACTAAAAATAACCCAAAGAAAACTACTAGGTGCTTTTAAAAACTGGGCTGTGATTTTCCCAGTATTCTAAGTTGGGATAGCACTGGTGTAATACAGTGATCCAAATATGCCTCCAGGTTGTTCTTGCCTTTAATTAGCTATATATTAATAATCTATATTAATGATTCAAATATGCTTTCAGGCTGTTCTTGCCTTCAATTAGCCATATATTAATGGTAACGATACAATTATATTTTTAAATTCTATACTGAGGGCTAATGTATTTTTCTTGCTATGGAGAATAGGTTTGGGCTTGTTTTGCCACAAAATACTAGAGATTCAGCAGACAGTGAATGTTTTGCAGGGTAATCTTAGTGAGATAGAATACTTTACAGTCACACATGACTGACTATTTTGTCCCTGATTCCTCTGCAATGGAAACTGTTATTATAAAATCTGGGTTCTGCCAAACCTATTTAAACAGAGTACAGCAACGGAAATTTTTCCAAGTACTCTTGGAAATGTGTTCAGATAGTTTATTTAGCTAACTTGCTAAAAAAAAAATCAGAATATCAATTAACATAATATCAATTAACAGATAATTAACAAATAATCAATTAATGAATTCTTAATTATGGTATTAAGAATTTTTATAAAATTAAAAATTAGAACTTGCAAGAGAAAAAAGAGAATGAAAAGTATAGAGATTTTACTAAATACATGAAAGAAATCCTGGAACAGTGCAGCAGTCATCATAAGAGTATGAAAATAATTGGGTAAGTTTAGTAAAAATTTATATTTTAACTAATTTAAATAAAACAAGTTAAAACCATATAGTTAACTCATTTAAAATATTAAAAAGTTGTTTGACTACTTTTGTATAGGTATTTTTAAGGAGACTTGTCTACAATGTGGATGCTCAGGTCCTGATCTTTACATCACGGGAATATTTTGATTTTTTTTTTCCACAGGCAACAGTCAGGAATGCCGGCAGAAATTTTCAGGAGGTTTTTTTCAGGTCCTCATGTACTCATTGCCCTGTACTCAGTTATGGGAGTAACCAATGATGAAAGAGATGACTTGGCAGTTCTTGATGATAAGGACAGCTACAGCACTGGGGTGGTTTGACAAGCATCTCTTAAATCAGACATGCTGACTAAACCAGCCAGTTTTGCTGGTTCATGTACCTAATTATGAAAACCCCTTCCTCTCCTCTATATCAGCTGAGGCATTTTCAACCTCAGCAATTCATTACGTGGCCTCATTAACAGTTGCCTTAGCCCAGCTGAGAAGAATCTACTGAATAGAGGGTGGAGTTTAAAACCACTGTCAAGATCAGTGCTTACCAAATAATGACTTTACAGAGATGTCTAGCTTAATGTGCTTGTAACAATGAGGCCACATCCTCTATGCAAATATCACCCTTCACTGGTTAAACCTGCCATCAGCAGTGTTACACAGATGGTTCATACTTTCAGAGGTGGACCTGCTTTCTGCGGAGCTTTCTGTTCCTCACAAATGTTCATGTTATCATCACAACACCCATGTGTGTTTGTGTTAACTGAGTGTCATTGCCTCTTTAAGAAATACCAAAAATGACACAAATGGGGAATGCAATACAACTACAAGGTTATGCTTCCCTTTCTTCTGTGTCTGTTTCATGACTCTGATACCTGTTTGTAATGAACAAACAGCCTCTAGCCAGAACGTGAATCTCAAAAAAGAGCAGCAGGGTTTAATTGGAAGTTGCAACAGTGATACCGTTCCCTTCATCCAGAAAGATCCCTCCAGAACAGAATGGAAGGGAACGGGGCATTTCCCACAGTAGCACCACTGGGGCACCCAAGGACAGCAGGACAGATACCAGACACATTGACTGTTTTCCACTGATCTATAAAAAATACATGTGCTGACCTCAGAGAGCTCTTTCCCAGCAGTGTGGGCTGATTTGATCCTATTTAGAGAGACTGTGTACGGCTGTATCAGTATCGTCGGTAACTTTAGAAAAATCCTTTGGATTCTCCTTCAGGTTTCTTCCAAGTTTAAGTACATTAACATTTATTATATACTTTGCTCCTCAGAAGTGTATTCCATCTCTCCTTAGGACTTAATCAGTGCTGACATCTTCATAGAAGCTAGAATGGAGTCCTTAGACATTTGTACAACTTTACATTTTTGTAACCTTCAGATAAAGGAAAATAAAAAGCATCTTCTCCCGAGAACCTAAGTTACACTGTCTAATACTTTATTTTGTCTCTAACATCAAGAGTTATTTCTACACTGAAGTAGCTAGTGTTTATATGAAAACAAAAGAATAAGGAATAAATCCTTAAATATTCTGGTCCTATCTGCATTCTTGACCATATACCTTACATCACAGCCTCAGGCATTTAAAGACTTAAATGCAAAGATTCAAAGAGCTAGATTCTTCTGTCCCATAAAAACCTACAGTTCTACATGCCAGCTTCCATATCCATGTTTTTTTTTGGCATAGGGAAAAGACCAGCCAATTCTCACATCTGTATTTTTTGTTATTATTATGTCATTAATTAATAGGCAATATCATACTTTTGGCGATGAAAGGAACAGTTAATAAACACATGAGGAGTACGTAATCTGTAATCTAAAATAACTACACTGATGATCTTGGCACAACAAGTGTTTTTTCATGCTGTTGTTCAACAAGACAGCACAGTTCAGTGACACTCACCTTCCTCCTCAGAAGTCGTGAAGAGCACACCTGCTTTCGTGTGTTCAAACTAAAACAGTGGAAGTGCAAAATTTTACAGGCTCCTGTTTGAAATTCAGTAAGTGTAATTAACACTACTAACATAGATAACATCAGATACTCTTTTTGTTTATTGGCTTAAGTTTAATGTTAGCAGATTTGACTTGACTAAGCAATGTCTAATTATATCAAGGCTGAATGTGGACTCTCATGTCTTATTTTCATAAAAAGCCTCAAAGCTGAATTCCTCTAATGTTTAGTGGCAAGCTTTGAATGGTATGGCTACTGCTTTTTGATGCACTACACCATCCATTTTGGTGGATTGTGTCAAGTCCAAGGGTATGTATAATACTTCTTTTTTTTTTTTTGTTTTCAGACTCTCTTTGGTCTAGTGGAACCTTTTCAGAGTCCACTTTTTCAGGGACATGTGGCATGGCCTGAATCCATGACTGTGTAGTTACCAAAACACAAGAGCACACTTGCACTTTCAACCATGTCTGTTTCTGCAGTCCAGTTTATGCCATGAAAAATGATGCAATAATTAAGCCAAGAAAATTAATATGATTTCCTGTAATGCTGAACCTTTACAAATGCCAGATTTGGGAAAATCTAAAGTCAAAGCTTTTTCCCTAGACAAAAGGCACTTACCTGACTGGAAGTACATATTGATGGAGCTATTCCACGAACAATTAGTGTTAATATATTGTAAAGTAAATGACTTTTTGACAGGCAGAAGGGCAGCTTTCTGACTCAGCTCACTTAGACCACCATCAAGGAGACTGAAGAGAGTAACATTTATCAGGGCTGTCATTGTTATGCTGGGATGAAGGCAATCCTTTTAACTGGAAACTATCACATAAAATAATCTGTTAACTCATACTCAGTAGAGTACATCACAGTAAGATTTGGGGGAAAACCATTTCCCAGTAAACTGTTACATTTAACTTTGCAAAATTAGCCAATAATAAATGAGTTCTAGCAAGACCAGTAAACGAAACATTCCAAACAATATTTTCCTCTTTTCCTATACATCAAGTCAGTCTGTTACTGCAATCCACTCATAAAAACAACCTTACAGGAACAAATAATAAAGTTTGTGTTCTGTAGTTTTATGACTTCGGTGGGGGCAAGAAATACCTTATAATCAAAGCCAGAGGAACAGAAAAAGGCAAACTACTCCTACAGCTTCTTTCTGAGGTCTTCCCACTTATGATCAAACTAATCACATAAAAGATCACTGTCCTGGCAAATGCTGGTGTGTATCAGCTGGTTATGTGTGAAAATTTATTTAATTTCAATAAACTGTATTTGCATAAGTGGAAAAAGTATTTCTGCAGAATTTCAGTACAGAATTCTTTGAGTTTGTCCTGGAAGTCTCAATCTGCATTCTCTCAGGAAGTGTCACTTAGGATAACGCAGAAGCCAGGAAGAGAGATGCTCTGGTGTACCTCATAGTTACAAACAGGAAATGTGAAGGCTGGGTCTTGGCTGTAGTGATTATGAGATGGTGGAGTTCAGGATCTTGAAAAGAGGCAACAAAGGAAATGGCAAGATCATAAAAACTGCCTTCAGGAAAGCACATTTTGCCCTCTAGAGATCTAGAGGCATCAGCTTGGAAGATTTCCTTGGGAGACAGCCCTGGAGAGAAGGGTCCAGGAGCTGACTGATTTTAAAGAATCACCTTTTCCAAGCTCAAAAATCTCCACATTCAGGAAATCAAGAAATGGCAGGATAAGCTCTTGGCAAAGCTGAGACATAGAAAGAAAGCACACATGAGGTACTAGCAGGGACAACTGAACAAGAAACACAATTTGAGCTGTTGGTATCTGGTTAAGAAACCCAGAGCCCACCTAGAGCTGAATCTGGCAAGATGTGAGAAGGGCTTCTAGAGGTATAGAAGCAGCAGAAGACAAGAAAAATGTGGGCCTAGTACTGGCTGGAGATGCAGTAGCAAAGGACAAGCAAGGTCAGGAACATCTATGCAGACTGGACACACACAAGTTTATGGGACATAATGGCATGTGCCTGCAAGAAGTGGTATGTGCTGAAGAAGCTGCTGATGTCATTGTAAAGTCACTCTTGATAATCTTTGAATAGTCACAGTGACTGGGGAAGGTTCCAAGGTCTAGAAGAAAGCAAATTGCACTCCTTTTTTAAAAAGATTAAAAAAAGAGCAACCAAAGAACTACAAGCTGGTCAGATCAGCCTCACCCCAAACGCTGGGAGGCTGAGAGAGCAAATAATCCTGGAAAACATTTACATTAGGAACGAGAATGTGATTGCAAGTAGTCAGCATGGATTAACAAAGAGAAAATTAGGCCTGCCCAACCTAGCAGCCTTCTCTGAAGAGATGACTGGCTTGGTGGACAAGGGGAGGCATTGGATACTGTTCATTTTATCAAGGCTTTCAACAGAGTCTCCTGTAATGTTCTCACTGATTAAGTACAAGACAGATAACTGGACAGTGAAACTGAAAACTGGCTGAACTGTCAGGCTCAGAGGGTTGAGATCAGTTCAGGATCTACAGCTGGAGGCCCATCAAAGTCCAGCTGGAAGCCTGTTTCTAGAAATGTACACTAAGGCTTCATACTAGGTCCAACATTATATAACATCCTGATTATTTCCTGGAGAAGAGTGTTTCTGTGGCAAGTTTACAGATAATCCAGACTTGGGAGTGGTTGATATGCCACAGGATCATGCCGGCATTTAGAGGGACCTCCACAGACACCTTATGAAGTCCAATGTATGAAAACATTGAGCCCTACACCTGGAGAGTAATAACCCCATGCACCAGTACAGGCTTGTCAGCTGAATGGCTGGAATGAAGTTGTAGAGTAGGCTCCACAAAGTTGACTGGATTGAGTAATGAATCTTTGCAGCAATGAAGACCAACAGCCTTTTGGGTGGCATTAACAAGAGTATACACCACCAACAGGCCAAGCACTGCATTTATTCCTTCGCTTTAGCACTGATGATGCCAAATCTGGAGTGTTGTGTCCACAACTGGGCTTCTCAGTACAACAAAGCAATGGGCATACTGGAGCAAATCTAGCAAATTGCTCCAAAGATGAATAAGGGATTTTAGCATTTGTCATATGAGGAGACATGAGAGAGCCAAAATTGTTTAGCTCAGAGGAGAGATGGCTTTTTCCTGCTGTCACCTCTGGGCAGCTGTGGGAAATGCATGCAGACAGCTTTTCTACAAGTTTCATCAAGCAGATGTCATGCAAATGAGGTACTGCTCTTGAAGCAGTTTAAATGAACAGAGCCACACCTTCTTTCCTGGTAATTGGATCTACGATCCAAGTGTGGTTTAGCAGGGTTTCTTTACTTATCACATTAGCATATGGAATGATGAAATATCTGCATGAATGTTTAGATTTCAAGCCATCTGCTGATTCTATACAAAAATTTGTAGATTCCACTCCTGGCTGAATTCAATAAATACAAACTAAAATACGATTTGTTTTTTTCTCTTGAATCTGTCCTTGGAGATTTTACATTGCCAGCCACTCCATGGCCCACTTCATGATGACCCCTATATTTTTGTGTACACTCTTATATAATCCTTACATACTCTATTGCCTCATATCAAGGCCTCTACAGAAAGTGACAGACTGAGGTTTGAACCATTTCAAAAACAGAAGGAATGAATATTTAGGAGTTACTGCACAGAGAATGCTTTAGCTAGTGGGATTCTATGTAAAAGCTGATGCCTGCACTGAGGCTGTCACCCATAAATGTGACTGCTCATTGAGGGTGTATGGACAGCCTCAGCTTTCCTGTTGAACTACCCCCCTGGGCAGACCTTGACTCAGGGCCACTTAATCTGTACATCTCAAATGGCCTGAAATAACATACAGCCAGCCATATACCAAAGTGATTCACAGGTGTTTGAACCTGCTTAAAAGAGGCCTGGACAGAAGATAGAGTGCCTACAATATTTCAGATATCTCACTGAGTTAAATGAGTATCCATCGATTGGTTTTTCGCAAGTGCAAAACAGCTCAGGTTTGTTTTATATTATCTTGTATCTTCCCTTAAGGACTCTGTAAATTTAACAAATGAAGGATCAGAACTTTATTTTGATGTAGATGAGAAATATTATATTGCTGTTGATTAAAAGACGTCACTGTGAAACTGCTCATTTTTACAGACATTTAACTGACACAGTCTGGAGTACTTCTGAGCACACTTACTCTGATCTATGAGCCACTGAATACTGTTCCACTGCCTGTTTTAAATCTAGTTTTTTTTAAAGCTATTTTTTAGGCATAAAACTGACAGTGGAATAGTACAGTTTATTTCTCTATGGTTGTACATTGTTCTTTTCCTTCAAAGGGTAATTGTATTCAAGCATTACAATATATTCAATATTAGCAATGGTACTTGTTTCAAGGTTAGAAATTAAATACATATAATTTCTTACTTCACATTTGCTTATTTTTCTGCATTAGGTCTGAGAAGTTGTTGGAAAGTTTCCTGCAGCCTGAAATGACAGACAGCCTTGTAAAAAGGACACCCCTATTTCACGACCAAGGAATATTGCTTAATAGGTATTAATCTGAAGAAGTATATTTTACAATAAAGTTTTTGACAGACTGCCAACCTTCTGAACACCCAGAGAGCATTTAATTTTTGTCTGATCAGAAGCACCTAATGTCACTGCACATGCTACAATGGAAATTGTGAGACAAAGTTTTGGCATCTGTGTTACCTGTACATACCCTGTAGCATCTGGTGTGGTGTTTGCCACTCTTCTAGTTTCTTGCTGCTCATCTCTGAAAACAAGAGCTCGTCCACTTGTTTCTAATTCACCTTTCCTTTCTATCTGGAATGCTCCTACAGAACTTTGTACTAAAAAGACTGGAGTGCAGCTGGACATGAAATTATTTTCTCTAATTGGAAGTACACTAAAGACATCCATTGGGCAAAACGTCACTCTCTTCTATCCAGACAGGCTTGGATACTACCCTCACAAAAATGAAGTCACAGGAGAGGCATTCCATGGAGGACTCCCTCAACTCTCACTGCTGGAGAATCATTTAAAAAAAGCCAAAGAGGACATCCAGTTCTACATTCCTTCAGATGAACAGCTTGGATTGGCTGTCATTGACTGGGAAAACTGGAGACCGCTGTGGATAAGGAACTGGGGATCAAAAGATATTTATAGACAGGAATCCATTGAGTTAGTTCAGCAGAGAGACCTCAGTCTATCCGAAGCCGAAGCCAGAACTAAAGCTAAAATTGAATTTGAATTTGCAGCAAAATCCTTTATGTTGGAAACTTTGAAGCTGGGCATAGAAACGAAACCAAATCGTCTGTGGGGATATTACCTTTTTCCAGACTGTTATAACTATGATTACAAAAAAAACCCCCACAATTATACAGGAGCCTGTTTAGATATTGAAATAGAAAGAAATAATGAGCTTAAATGGTTGTGGGAGAAAAGCACAGCACTTTATCCATCTATCTATCTAGAGACAGCCTTAAAATCTTCCAGAAATGCTCAACTCTTTGTTCGCAACAGAGTTCAGGAAGCCATTAGAAATTCCTATGTCTCTAACTCTAGACATCCCCTTCCAGTTTTTGTATATACACGTCCAGTATTCACAGATGTCTCTGAGGAATATCTCTCTGAGGTGAGTGAAGCTAGACCTTAAAGAATTCAAATTTATATGGCAAAAAATCACCAGGTGACACTAATTTAGCAAGTATACTAACTTGCATCAGAAAGAAGTGTGCAATTTTGTCTAAAAAATTAAATTAATCCATCAAAAAAATTTGACCAAACGAAACACTAAGAGGTCTATTTTCAAACTGTTCTCATTATAGTTATCAAATAGTGTTTTATTCTCTGAGTTGTCCTCACATGTAACAAAATATTGCAAAACTAGAAAACATACTTAGCACACCTGGTTAGAGAAAAGAAATATGAGTAAAGCTTTGCAAAGAGAATTAGTAATACTGGGCTCACCTACTGCCTGCTTTTTAGGTTACAAGAAAAAAATATGAAACAATGGAGTCTTTCTTTCCTTAAAACAAGTTTAAAGCTAGTGAAAAAAATCTGTTCTTGGTTGTACTGAAGTACAAAAATGGTATTTCAACGTCATGGGTTAGTTAAGTTTAGGCTCTGATTAAAATCCAATCATCTTATTGCAGTTCTGGCTATATTTCCCATCACATTTTTATAGACACCCACCCCATCAGAGAGGCCCCCATTCTGGGAAATCTCTTGTTGTTGTTCCAGCCCATGAGGAAGGGGAAGTTAGAGTCCTGGTGATGGCATTCTACCTGGTGTCCTCCCACATTCTGGACAGAGCATTAGCAAGTGTTGCCCCCAGTTCTGTGGACACTTTCAGGGAGCCAGGGGTGCTTCAGGGGCCCTGCTGGGATCCCAATTAATAATTGAAATCCTATAATCTTTACATTAGATTTGTGTGTGTGTGTGTGTGTGTGTGTGTTGTGCCCTACGGTAACTTTCTTTTTTATTGTTTTGTCATTATAGTCCTCTCCCATCCCATATATGCCTTGACATTTTCTATGACTGGTCTAAGAGCTGACCCGAAAGGATAAATGAAGAGAAAAAAATTTCCCAAATCAGTTTCTATAAAAGACCAGAGATATTCTCTGGAAAAGGGAGGTTCCTACTGTTGAAAGCTCTTTCTCTTGCATCTTTTCTGTTTTAGCAGTTTGTGGTAATAGAAATTAAGTTAAAAAAAAAAAAAAGCTGTGGTTTCCAGTATTTCTATCCCATAGCATTACTGAAACCAGTTGCTACCAACTCTGAGCAGCCAGGAGGCAATGCAGCAAAATAAGCTGTAACATGGCTGGAGGAGTGTATGTCATATGCCTAAGCACCGGCTCAATTTTACAGCCTTGTTTTCAACAGATGACATATATAAATCGGATATTGTTGGCAACATTTTCTGGTATCACCTGTGCAATCCAATTCCAGGATAAAATTATGCAATTGAGAGTAGGACATTTGCACTGTGTATCATTGCTTGCTGTCTTCAAAGTAGTTATTGCGGATAGGTCATTTACTATATGCATTTTTTCATTTGCCCTTATAAGTTACTTACATTTATATGATTCTTAGCATATTTTCCTTCAGGAAGACCTGGTAAATACCATTGGAGAATCTGCTGCACTGGGTGTTTCTGGAATTGTGATTTGGGGTGGTATGAATTTAACAAAAAATAAGGTATGCTACATCAATTATTATATGAAATTTTTAAAGAGAAATAAAGTAAAAAGGATGTAAAACATTTTGATCACTTACATCTTCTACTTTTAAAATGATGACTCCATATTAGTAGCAGTTTCTTGTAGTCAAAACCCAAGCATATCTGAGGTTCATTAAGGTTATCATTGGCTATGCAGAACAAGAGTTCAGTCTTTCAATGTCTCAGTTCTGTTGACTCTGGGTAACTGGGCAAATTGCTATGATAACCACAGGCAAGTTAGCACTTGTTTAATTAGTATACAAAAGAATTCCTAAATCTTCACTTCATTTTAGTAATGAGGTAAAGAAAAAATTATGTGGGCTTGCCCAGAACAATTTTTAGAAGACCCTTCTGCTTTTTGGAGTGGTGAATTTTGCAACAATAGGAGAAGTCAGTCTGTAAAAGTTCAGCCCTAGCCTGTTCTGTGTGTTGCAAATACTACTTTGATTAATTTCATTGTATGAAACATCTGAGTCAGAAGAAAAAGCCTCTAGTTTGTTTTAGGAAGGGGAAATACATCGTTTGAGACTGTTACAAGGATGTTCTCATAATTCTTTCCAGGTAGTTCATTCATAACCAGGCAAGTTAGATTTAACAAACTATTGTATGGGAAGACTCTTGTGAAATCTTCTGAGTGCAATAGTGCAATGAACCAAAATGCTTCATCTCTGCCAGACCTCCTGCCACAGAAAGCATGGCAAAATACACCTCCACAGCTCTGTAAGGTTGTTATTCCCCAAAGCATGATACCTGGACTTTTTTGTATGTGCCTGCCTTTGAGAAAGGATATCAGTTACACTTGGAACTTTTCTGCCCATTATCTAAATCAGAATATAGATGAGCAGCAACTTTTATTGTCTTAATTTTGAGATTCCTGTGAGGAAAAAAAAACCTCTCCACAGATCAGTCAGACTATATATTTGTAACACTAATTGCATCTGATTTTTTTACAGCTTTCACAGTCACTAGCATTTCAGCAATTAAATATTTCTGTAAGCCTCATTTCTGCATCAACCAAAATTTCTTGGAAGTATTTATATATATACGTAAACGAAAACTAAAAAACCTACATACATCTTAGATTCACCAAAGTGATCTCCATGGGAATAAATATTAGGCACATCTATATGCAGTACTGGGCAAATGCCCATAATATCAGAAACAAAGAGAGAGCTCTCAAACCTTCTGGTTATTAAACTGTGCCAAGAATGCACAGAACGTATGCCAATTTAATGATCAGTTAGAACAATCAATTGTCTTAGCATACCTTCAATTTGACCATCCAACCACAATTCTTTTCATTTAAAAATGCCATGAAAGGTCCCTACCCTGTAGCCAAGCTATTCAGGTCAGGGGAAAGCTGAAAAGTCTCAGAGACTACACGATAGAAAAAGTATTTGTTTAGACTGAAGTAGTGTGAGTTTTTTTCCCAGACTCATTCAAACTATTTAAGACTTAAAAAAGAACTTCAAGTCCTCATGAAACGTCTTTAAATACATCTGATTCAAAAAACTGCATAAAATATAGATAAAATGAAAGCTTAAAGACAATTGCTTTCTGATCTAACTGCTTTTTGTAACATCTCCAGCAACTATACAACATGAATTTGCTAAGATCCTTGAATTTTATAAGAGCTTCTCAGATAAATTTGCTTCCAACAACAACTTATAGCTATTATCAAATCCTCAGGGGAAACATTTATAGACATATACTGTGGTACTTTTATTAGAATGACAGCATTTTAATGCTTTCCATACTAAACTGTGGAGGTGTAATGCTCTTTTCACAGAACACCTGTAGAACTCTGGACAACTACCTCAGGAGGACTTTGACCCCATACCTCATCAACGTCACAATGGCAGCCAGAATATGTAGCCAAGTGCTATGCCAAGACTCTGGTGCTTGTGCACGGAAAAAATGGAATTCCAGTGACTATCTTCACTTGAACCCTAAGAATATTGCAATTCAAATGACAAAGGATGGAAAATACACTTTACAAGGGCAACCATCATATCGGGATCTGCAAACATTCATAGAAAAATTTGATTGCCACTGTTATGCAGGGCACAGCTGTGAACCTAATGCTGATATAAATGACATCCATTACCTCCATGCTTGCATTTCAGAAGATATTTGCATTCAGATATCCTTAAATTCTGAGAGTAAGGTGACATTATCTACACATCCTGAAGTAGAAGATTTCCAATCTACCTTTGGAAATAATATACTTAATATAACAACTGGAGAATATAATAACACTGTTACAGCTGCCAGTAGCTATGATTTAGAAGAAAATGATACTCGTACTTTCAGTAGTTCTTCATCCTATAAGATAAGGATGTTTAGTCTGTTTCACTTAATTCTCCTTTTGAGAACCTTAATACAAATGATCCATGAAAGTGAGAATATCCTTTTCCTTGACTATATTTGAAATTCTCAAGGTTTTTTTACAAAACAAACAAACTAAATAATTCCTGAAAGGCTTATGGTCCTTACAGGTAACCTTTTATAATCCACAGGTACCACTTCAGCTTGAATGTATTTCCTCAGTTTGGTTCTATAAACTACTATCTGTGCCAAAGAGATATTGGTCTATATAAATACTGACTATGCTATACGAGAGGATAATCCAGAATAAAAACCATTTTTTACAGTTTACATTTTTAACCGTTATATTTGGAAAAAAGTAATGGTTGACAATGCACTTTTGTCTACTTCAAGTTAAGACAGTTAAATATATAATACGCAAAATAAGTCATCAGACTTGGTGCTCTATGCAAGAATTAATTTCATTCCATATGAATGGAATTATCTTTTAAAATATTTGGCTTAACTTTAGATCTGTGGAACTTTGCAGCATAAAATTTATCTTATTAATGTCCCTCCACTTTTCACAAAACCTTTAGGGGTGCTGTAGCTTTTATTTAAATTAAATGTATTTGTAACTCTTCAAAAGGTTCTAATTTCAATGTTGACTTTGAATATTACAGCTTCATTATTTAAAAATTGAGCTGTAGCAGTTTATCCTTTCTTCTCACAAACCCTCTCTCTTATTTCAGATATCCTTGTTGCAGAAAGGCCCATTTGTCGGGGATGAGCCATTTGTCGGGTTCAGGGAAAACTCGGGGCTCAATATGAGTCATCAACAAGTTCCGTCCATTGAAGAGAGCATCAGACACCCACACAGCAAGCAATAAGCCCATGAACCCTCTGCAAGCCATGCGATCCACTGCTCAAACCACACCACCAACTCTCCCCCACTCCCCTGCGCCCACACTCCCCACTCCCCACGTCTCTCTGTCCACCCGCCACCATACCCAGCTAGGCCCAAGGACACACCACCCCGCAGGTGCAGGACTTGGAATTAGCCACGGCCCTGCACTTTTCCAGTCTCCAGTCAGCCAAAATCCCAACATCTCCCTTTCTTGGTTTCCAGTTGTTTTG